CTCCCATCTCACTCACTCCTCATTCTCCCTGGGCCCTGCAGAGAGATGCCTCACCTGTGTGAGGCCCCAGGCTCAGTGACTCCTCATTTCCGGGAGGGCTGTCACCGGCTTTTCTAAGGCATGACTACGGTGAGGAAGGATTGCAGAGACGCCTGTGTGCCATTATCTAGAGTTTAGGGTATGACTTGATGAAGGTCACACACGGAAAGAGCATCAAAAGCCAGGACCTGGACCCAGGTATACTGACCCCTCGTCCAGTGTTCACGGAGTACACACGACTCTGTCCTCCAGAGAACTGGAGGGAGGGAAGGCTGGAAGGGGAGAAGGCAGAGGGAAGAACTTTGAAAGACCAGGTCCTGGAGAATTTCTTTTGTCCCCTCAGCCCTGCTCCTGACGTGAGATTGACTGGCTTTTGCTCATGCCCCGTTTCTACTTTTTTTCTTTTTTTTGGTGGTACTGGGGTTCAAATTCAGGGCCTCATGCTTGCTAGGCAGGCACTCTACCACTTGAACCACTCCAACAGCCCATCAGTACCCTGTTTCTAAATCAGTTATAAGGAGCTAGAGTCAGGGCAGGGCATGGTGGTATACACCTGTAATCCCAGCTTCTCAGGAGGTGGAGACAGGACAAAGGCAAAGTTACTGCATGACTCTATGTTGTCAGGCCACAATTAGCACAGACCCTATCTGGCAAACAGACTAAAAGCAAAAATGCTGAGAGTATGGCTCAAGTGGTGGAGCAATTGCCTAGCAATTATGAGGCCCTGAGTTCAAGCCTCAGTACCGCTATGTCAAACAGCAGTATGGTTCCTTAATCACAGAATTCATATGACCCAGCAACTGCACTTCTGGAAACACCCCAAAGACAAAGCAGGGACTTGAACCGTTCTTTGCACAGTCATGTTGACAGCAGCACTACTTACAACTGACGGACACAACCCCACTGGTGAATGAACGGATAAAATGGTTTATCCACACAATGGAACATTACGCAGCCTTAAAAAGGAAAGACACTCAGACATATGCGCCACACGCGAACCTCTTAGATATTCTACCGAGTGAAATAAGCCAAAGCCCAAAGGACTGCATGATTCCACTTCCACAAAGGACCTAGTGTGCACAAATTCACGGACACAGAAAGCAGAATGGGACGACAGAGCTGGAGGGAGGGGGGATGGGAAGACAAAAAAACGCTCTGGAGGTGGGTGGTTCTACACGGTGTGAAAGGGCTTAACACCGCTGGCCTGTCCATTTACAAACGGTTACAATGGTGAATCTTATCCTAGGCACTTTTAATCTAATTTAATTTAATATTTTTGAGACAAGGTCTTGCTACGCAGCCCAGTCTTGTCTCAGACTTGCAAGCCTCCTGCCTCAACCTCCCGAGTACCGGGATTATAGGTCTGTACCTCCATGCCCTACTTTGGCATATTTTATCACAGTACAATACATTGAGCAGGCCCTGAGTTCAAATCCCAATCCTGCCAAAAGAAAGAAAGTCTCTCTTGCACTCAGTGGTCCCCCAGGTTCATGGTTGGCAGGGGAGGAGGACAGGCCCCCCATCTCAAACTGGAACTCACCCCGTTAGCTACCTTCTGCCTCTCGGCCCACCCCAGGGGCCCCGCTCACCAGGGCTCTCCCAGAGCCTCAGCCTCCATGTGCCCCATTCCAAAGTGTGTCCTGGGTTTTCCAAAGCAGGTACTGGCTGTGAGCAGTGGCGGCCAGCCTGCCCTGGCTCCAGGGGCTGTGTTTGTTTTCCCAGGGTGCCCCGTTCCGGTCTCCGCCCTGCCCACAGGAGGGAATGCTTTAAAGAGATGTGGTTTCTTTTGTTGAGAGTCGTCGCGAAGGCTGCAATCCAGGGTTTATTTTCCTAACGTGCTTGGCATAGCTCAGCGCCCCGAGCAGCTCTCAGCGTTTGATTTGGGGGGAACCCGAGCCCCTGGTTTGTTCTGAGTCACCAGTAAGCCACAGCGTCCTCAGCCAGTGCTGGGGGTGGGGGTGGGGGGAGGCTTGGAAAATCACTGGCAGAAATAGGCTAGAGGTACTGGTGGCTTTGCAAAAACAAAAGATTTTTAATTTTTAAAAAATTCTGAGACTGCTAAACTGGCGGGTTGAAAAGGCATCGATTTTCAGATTCATTAGTCTCCCCGTGGGCCCTCGTTTCTCTAACAGGAGGGCAGCCCCAGACCCCACACTTCCGAGACCTCAGTGAGGTGCAGGCCTCCTGAAGGCCGAGATCGTGCTGCCCTGGGGTCCTCAGAAATGGCACCCAAGGCCCACACACCCACTTTGTGTGTGTGTGTGTGTGTGTGTGTGTGTGTGTGTGTGTGTGTTGGTGTGGGGATGGAACCCAGGGCCTCAGGCCTGCTAGGCAAGTACTTTGCTACTGAGCCACTGCCCCAGCCTTGGTTGCCCACTTTCTTTTCATTTTGGGGGGTTTAAACTCAGGGCTTCACATTTGCTAGGCAGGCGCTTTACTGCTTATGCCACACCTCTGGCTCTTTTTGCTTTAGTGATTTTTCAGACAAGGTCTTGTGTTTTTGTTCAGGCTGGCCTTGGACCTCAGTCCTCCAATCTCTGCCTCCCAAGTAGCTGGGATTACAGGCAGGAGCCACTGCACCCAGCTGGTGGTCCACTGTTGAATAGGTCCGGTGGTGTGGACTGGGCTCACCAGGAAGAGGGAAAAAGAGGTCCCTTCTTCCCTAGCTTTTTTGGAATCCCAATACTCAACAGTGGGAAGGGGCACTTGACCAAGGGAGAAAAAGGAAGCCTCTGGCAGCCTCCTCCCTCCACAGATGCAGAGAAGCCCAGAAATCTCACTGCCGGAGCACCATGGTCCCCGGCAGATCTGGGGGCCACTTCCAAGGCAGTGGTTCATTGGGTGAACACCCAACTTTATTCCACCTGATCTTATGCCCAGTGTGTCATCTGTCCCCAAGTTTGTGGGAATACTTTTTCCCAAGGAAATGGCCTGGAGGCCTCATGAGCTCTCAGGAAGGGTGACTGGGCCCCATGCGGCTGCCAAGGGCACCCACTATCTGCTGAGCCATCTGGGTGCTCACATCCCCAGCCGACACTAGCCATTCTGGGATTTCTCTGGGGAGACCCATTAATTGGAGACCTTGTAGCTGCATCTGGGAGAAGCCCGTTTTCCCCTGTCTGTCCCCACCAGGGCCAAGACCACCTGACTCCCTCTCGCCACACCTGGGTCCCAGTCCTCTCCTTCCTGTTCTTCTCTCTCCCCTCCTTCCTTCTTCAGTCTTTCTTTCCTTTCCTTTCACCTGCAATTTCTTCCTCCCCTGTCCCCACTCCACAGCCTCATTCACCAGGGGAAAACCAAGGCCTCCCTCCACCTGGAGGGGAGCGGCCCAGAGCCAGCTGAGGTCCTCAAGGAACAACGAGCCAGGGACACCCCCTTTACCCCTGGGTAAAACTGGACCCCTTCCTTCCACCTTGCATCAGGGATCTAAACTCCAGCTCCCAGGACACGTTGGCCTAATTGCTTTTACCCAAGGTAGAGAGAGTGACCAGGCCACTGCAGTGAGCCAGAGGTGGACACCAGGCGAGGGAGCTGAGCACCCAGCATGGCGTGCTCGATGCAGACTGGCAGTGGCGGGTGTTCTCGAAAATGGCTCTGTGGGGTCTCAGGTGTCCCCAGGATACACCTCCTCCAGCCTTGATTTCAGACTGGTCTCAGTCTCCTCTGTCTTCCCAGGACCTCCTCTTGTTTGAGAAGCTAAGGCTCGCAGCCAACCTGAGCACCCCTGGGACCCTGAGGCTGGTGCAGTAAGTGGGGTCCCCAGGGATGCCAACCCTTCCTCTCTCACCTCTCCAGACACAGGTTGAGGGATTAAAACAGGTGCCAGAGCCCCCAGCAGGTCAACCTAGTCCCCCAAAGTGAGGGACAGGGCTGATGTCCTCAGATCACCCCACTCCCCTCTCAGGACTGGGCCAGCTGTGGGACATTGATTCTCCCCCTGCTCTGCTCCCCACTGAACCCGTGCAAGCCCTTGCCTTTTGCTTCATCCTCATCTTCTCCCCTCCCCCAGCCTTCTTTCTAAGGATTCAGGACTCTGTGATCCTGTGACTTTTTGAAAACAGCCACTTGGGTGGACTGTTTGTTTTTAAAGCCCCTTCCTGATGACCTTTGACTCCGCAGGGAAGTGAGGCCTCGCTGGCCCTTCAGGGATGGGCCACAGCACCTAGGAGGCTCCCCAGGCAGACTGCAGGTAGGGGCCAGGCATCCTCACCCCAGGACCCCTCTGGAGACCCAGGCTGGGTGGTATGGGTGGAATGAGGGGCAGAATTTGAAACCCAGCTGTGAGACTCAGTCACTTTGCTCCTTCAAAGCCTCTGGTTCCCCAGCTTGTAACACAGCCACAGTCCGATGGCATCCACTTCCCAGGCGATGCGACGCAGGAGTGAGGAAGCCAGGGTTGCCTCCTGGGCTGGGCAAAAGGGCAGCGCACTTCCCCGAAGTCACAAGTCCCCCCACTCGAGGTAGCTCCGACCAGAAGAAGGTCCCCTCGGCAACCCACCCTGCCACCCGCACAGCCTCGACTCTGCTGTGGGCAAGAGGGTCCCTCCAGTGTCCCCGTGCCCATCGGTGGCCTCCCAGTACCCTAGAAGTGCGGTGGCAGCGTCTCTTCCAGCGGCACATGGGCATGCGGCCTCTGTGCTCCACATGAGATCGCCGGAAGTTCAAGGACCCCGCATCTGGGGGCCCCCCAGCCCAAGGCACCGCATCTGGGGGCCCCACAGCCCAAGGCACCGCATCTGGGGACCCCACAGCCCAAGGCACCGCATCTGGGGACCCCACAGCCCAAGGCACCGCACCTGGGGGCCCCACAGTCCAAGGCCCCGCATCTGGGGACCCCGCAGCCCGGAGACCCCGCACTCCGACCGCCCAGCGTCTCCGCCGACCCCGCGCGCTCCCCCGGCTGCCCCGGTTCCAGTCCCGCGCCCCCGGGCCGCCGCACTCACCGCACTCACCGCACTCACCGTCCTGCGGCGCCGCCTCGCTGCCGCTGCTGCCCCCGGACGGCTCCCGCGCCGCGCCCCCCGCGCCTCGGCCCTGGCCGCGGGCCGCCCCGCCAGCCGCCCGGCCGCCGCCACCTCCTCCAGGTCCAGGAGGTGGCTCACCGTGAAGTTCTTGCGCGCTGGGCGCAGTCGCCGGGCCCCAGCGCGGGCGGCGGCGGCCCGGGCCCAGCACCGGCTTGTCCAGCGGAAGGCGGCGGCGGCCCCCGCTGTCCATGCCCGCGGCGGCCCGGCCGCGGCTCCCGCGGGGGTCCCGGCGCGGGCGGAGCGGCCCCCGCAGCCCCGCAGTCCCCGCCGTCCCCGCCGCCCCGCCGCCTCCTCGCTCGCTGCGCGGCCGCCGCCGCTCACGCACGTCGGGGGAAGAAAGTTTCCGCCGCCTCCCCGGCCTCGCTCGCGCCTGATCGCGCGCTCTCCCCGCTCGCTCTCCCCGCTCGCTCGCTCGCTCGCTCGGCCGCACGCCCCTCTTGAGGCGGACCTCGCCCCGGCCTCCCTCCCCGCCGCGGGGAGGGGTCCTCCGCCATCGGGCGGAAGGCGGGGCCGGGAGGGGGCGGGGGTCCTCCCCCTGCCCCCCACTTTAGGGAGTGAACAGGTCCGCGTGGTGGTTCTCCACTAAGTCCCCCAACGAGAGTCCCAGAGGTGAGGCGAGAGGGATTGGCAGACCCCCCCCCAACTTTTACCAGTTCCTCCACAGGTGGTGGGGGCGCGACTCTGAAACAGTTGACAGGGAAGATGTGCAAAAACTCCTCACTGTCCCCAACGCCACCCCCGCAACCCTGATGGAAAGAATCGAGGACCACCTGGTCCACCTTGTTCCCTCCACCCTGTCCTGGGCTCCCTCCCCCATAAAGTAAGCTCTTGGGGTATATGCAAGGGTCATTTCACTCGCCCTCCCCCGCCATGACACCTCATTGCACACCCCAGTCCGACCCAAGGCCCCCGCCCCAAGGAAAATCAAGCTGGGAAGAGTGGGTTTTCCTCCAAAATTCACAGGGAGAGACAGCCAGACTGACAGATGGATGACAGGGAGAGAGGGACAGTTTTGCCCTTGTTTTGTTTTTCAAGGAAAGCCCAGAAAAAATATACAGGATGAGCAGACCCCAGACTCTGAGCCCTCCTGATGCCCCAGGTCTTAGCCTGTCCTCTGTCCCCCTGCTGTCACCAGAGAGGCATAAAATCATATCAACAAAAACAGCCCCACCAGGAGAAGGCCTTCCGAATGTCCCCCCGGGGCATCCACTCCCACACCAGCAGCCTGGCCTCCATAGCAGTCATTTACTTGGGGGTTTTCTGCCAGAAGGAATCAGCCCCAAACAAAGCTGAGTGTCCTCTGAGTGACTTCAGCCACAACAAGCCATCGCACATCTGCAGTTAGGTTGAAGATCTGTAAATGACAGGGCTGTCCTTCCTTGGAAATCTGCTCCAAGCCATGTCCAGTGAGAAAGGCTGCAATGGTGCCTTCCCTCCTCCCAGGGGGCTGGAGAGGGCACAGTGTAGGCACTGAGGGTTCTCAGTGCTGCCCATAGTGTATGTGACTGACCAGTCTTCTGGAGGACAAGAGCCAAGCAGGACTCTGCAAAATGTGTGATGGAGCACCCAGCAAGTCCCTGGAGTAGAGACTGTCTCCGAGGGCTCAGAACAGCCTGAGCACGCCAGCCACTGCTGTGTAACTTCAAACATGGCACCACCCTACCCTGAGTCCAGCTCCTTCCCTCTAGATGGGGGTCAGAGCTAGGAAGTGCCATGTTGGGGTCTCTTGGTGGGCCTGGTGTCAGAATGACTTTCTTTCCCACTCACTCAGTCCACACGCCCTGTGCAAGTGGGAAGGTGATGTCCCTCATCTCTGTGGGATGGCGGTGCTCTGGCTGTGGGCTGCTGGATGGAGTCAAGACCTCACAGTGGCCTTAGGCAATCTACCAGCCTCTTGCCAGTCTTTTGCCTCAACTGTAAAATGAGCGGTTAGGCGGAATACATGAGTTGATATGTAGGATACCTGGTACCTGGTGTATTTAACAGTAAGTGTTAACAATTATTATTTTCTGGGGGGTTTGTTTCTTTGTTTTGTTGTGCTGGGGATGGAGCCTATGCTTAGGCAAGCATGCTTAGGCAAGCGCTCTACCACTGAGCTACATTCCCAGCCCCAAAATTATTAGGCTTTGAACAACTCCCCCAAGAGGTGGTGCAGGGTGGATGCTTAGGTTTGAGTCAGTTCAGCACCGCTGAAGAGCTGTGGCCTCGGGCGAGTCACTTGCTCTCCTTCCAGGCTCAGCGCCACCATCTGTAATAAAGGATTCAGTCTGAACGGTGCTGGCACTGAGTTGTTACCGACCTTGTCGGTCCTGGGAGGAAGGCTGGGCCTTACAAGATGGAAGAGACAGGCAAGGAGAGTTTCAGCCTGAAAATACAGCCGAGAACAAGACTTTACCCCAGGGAGGGCAGAACCCAGGGATTTGTGACCCAGAAGGGATGTAGCTATAAAATAATTTCTCTGTGGCTCAGATGAATCTAAGATTGTGACCCAGAGTAGGGCTTGAAGGGCAAGCAGGACCCTGGTTTGAACCTCAGTTTAACTAGTAGCTACTGACCTATGCATGCCTGTGGCAGAAGGGTGGGAAGGCTAAAGGAAGCAAGCGGGTCCCTGCTGTCCAGGAGCCCATGGAAAACAAGCCAACGGGGAGTTGGTGACTCCGTTGGAGGCTGGGTCCTGGACCTCACCTTATGTGAAAATGCTTATTTTCCCTCACCTCGAGACCTCATGGTATAAGAAAAAAATGTTAACTTTTCTTCTTTTTCTTTCTTTGCAGTACTGGAGTTTGAACTCAGGGCCTTCACCTTGAGCCACTCCACCAGCCCTTTTTTGTGATGGGTTTTTTCAAGTTAGGGTCTCTCAGAACTGTTTGCCCAGGCTGCTTTGAACTGCAATTCTCCTGATCTCTGCCTCCTGAGTAGCTAGGATTACAGGTGTGAGTCACTGGCCATGTATGTTGTTTTAACATAGGTGTGGGCTGGGGGTGTAGCTTGGTGATGGAGCGCTTGCCTTGCCCATGCAAGGCCCTGAGTTTAATCTCAAGCACTAGAAAGAAAAAAAAAAGTGTGTGGGAAGTTGTTATAACAACAAATAGAAAATTCACTCACTGAGTCAAAGATTCTGCAAAAATTAAGACTTTTGATAACATCACCCCCAAGAACTTTGTATCTTCTTGCCACTGGCGTTCCCTGATTCATTGCTAGCACGAGCAATTATAATAACTTGCAAATAATAATAATCACATTTCAAAAGGCATTTTTGCTTTAATCTGCATATCTTGAATTGTTGATGAAGGCAAATATCTTTTTTTTTTTTTTTGCTGGCACTGGGATCTGAACTCAGGACCTCAGGCTTGCTAGGCAGGTGCTGTACCATTAGATCCACTCCACCAGTCCTTTTTTGTGTTGGGTTTTTTGAGGTAGGGTCTCACAGAAACTATTTGCCGGGGTTGGCTTTGAAACTTGATCCTCCTGATCTCTGCCTCTTGAGTAGCTAGGATTACAGTGAGCCACTGGCACCCGGTGGCAACTATCATTAGTATTTAATGGCACTTGTGCTTCTCATTGATGACCTGTCTGTTCATAGTCACTGATCTGCAATCAGATTGAGCTACATTTCTGTCAGTCTTTAGCCACCACAACTGCTCTGCAAGAAACTTGATCATCAATCAGTCAAGGACCAGACCCATTTCACAGATGGGAAAACAGAGGACAAGTAATGTCCTGCAGCTCTGTTCATCTGAGAGCCTGGTGGGCAGAAGACACCTGAGCAGGGAGCTCACGGGAGAAGTCCTGGGAGTCATAAACGCTTCAGGCCCATGGGACTCAGGTGTGACCAGGAGTGACTGTGACAGATCACAGTGCTTTGTAAATATTGTGTCAGGCTGCCATCACAGCGGGGTGCCCTTGTCATCCCATACCTGAGGGACCTGGAGCTGAGCCCTAGGGGCAGGGAAGCTGGCTGTCCCTCAGCTCACTGCTCGAACTTTCCAAGCCTTAGTTTCCTTCCTGACCATCTCCTGGATGGGATCCCCTGTGTAGACTGGGTCTCAATTCTCGGCCAGGGCCAAAGCCTGACACAGTCTGCCCTCCAGATGCACGGGTTCCTCATCCCTAGATTAAACCAACCTAGGATCAAAAATAGTTTTTTAAGCTGGCACCAGTGGCTCATGCCTGTAATCCTATTTACTCAGGAGGCAGAGATTAGGAGGATTGCTGTGCTATTCGAAGCCAGCCGGGCAAATAGTTCTTGAGACCCTATCTGGAAAAAAAACTTTCACAAAAAAGAACTGGCAGAGTGGCTCAAGCAGTAGAGCACCTGCCTAGCAAGCATGAGGCCCTGAGTTTGAACCCCAGTGCCACCCTTCCTCCAAAATACTATGCATTTATGCAAGGGACTTGAGCATCTGAGGTTTTGGTCTCCATGGGGTCCTGAAACCATCCCCTGTGATACTAGGGGACAACTGTGCCCTTTGGGAAGATGCTTCTGACCTACCTGCAGCTTCAAAAATGAAGCTGAGCTGCAGCGTGGCAGGGCTCACACTTACTGAACCTTATTAAAGCCAGGCAGCCCTCTCACAACTCTCATGCACAGAAGGTAAACTGAGGCTCAGAGAGCTTTAGTGTGCATCTCCATGAGCACCATGTCATCATGCCACCATGAAAGTTTCAGGCTAAAAAGTTATCTTTTCCTCTTGAAGAATTATTCTCTTAAAAAAAAAAAGGACCAAGTCATGAAGCCCATTGCCTTTTTTGGCTTGGCTACCAGGAAACCCAAAGCCAATGTATGACCTAATCACAGTAATTCTATCTGTCCAGGTGTGACTTGAAGGTTGATAAAGCCATGATAGCAGGGAGAACCTGTCCTGAGTGGGAAGGCCACCTGTAGGCTGACCCTGCTGTGTAGTTGCTGTGTGATCGCAGGTTGTGTTCTTTCCTCTCTTACAGGGAGAAAGGGAGAAGCTGGTATGAGGTCGGCCTCCATACATGGTGATAGAGAGAGATGGCCGGGGGACTGGCAGGCTGGGAGCCAGAATCCGCATCGCCCAATGGCAGGAGATGCCTGGCCAGTTTGGCAGGCCACCACTGCCAGGGTGACAAGGAGGCAGGTCCGGCTCCTGAGGACCCCCGCAGGGCTGAGGAAGGCTTGGACCTGGGTCAAGTCTCTCCTTGGTACAGGGTTCCGGGGGACAGAGCTTGGTGCCCATGCTGGGTTCTAGACCCTGGGTGACAGCCCCTCACCTTCCAATGGGAAAAGACCCTGAATGACCATTGCACAATGATTTATTGAGCACCCACTGCATACTGAGGCATCCAGGTGAGCACCGAGCCATGCCCTGGTGGAATACCCAAGGGCATGCCGAAGTCAGACAGGGGCAGCCTGAGCCCAGGGGCCAAGCTCAGAGGGGCTCAGCAGTTCTGTTCCAGCAAAGACGTCTTCCATGGTGCTCGTGGGACAGACACCACTCCAGGGCACCCGTCCATGGAGAACTCTCTCCAGTCACAGGTGGAGAAACTCAGGCTCAGAAGAGAAAGTACTCCCCAAACCTGGGAACCCCCCCACCTCAGTTCTTGGGCTCTCCTGACAAACTGCCCGCCTGCCCTGCTTCCCCAGGGTCCAGGGAAGGAAGCCTAGAGGAGGCCAGGGCCTTCCCAATGCTTCCAGACCCTTGGGCCCTGCCCTGCTCCCATTCTGGGCCCCAGGACTTCGTGCTGTGATGGCTGGGCAGAGGCCTTTACCTCCACTGCTCACAGACCAGGTGCAGAGGCCAGAAGGATGCGGACCAGACTCAGCTCGCCGGCTTAATTGGGGATGTAATAGTTATTATTTATAACTGACTCTTGAGCCCTCGCCAGGAGGGTGCGTCACAGCCCGCCCGATGCAGCAAGTGCTAAACAGTTAAACCAAGGCTCTAACTGACGGCAAAACTCCCTGTGGGCGCTCACTTCCTCAGTTCGCTGATTGCTGATATTTTGGGGTGAAATATGATCATTTTTGCGATCAAAGAGATCAGAGTTCCAAAGGGGGAAAAAAACGGAAAAAAGGAGGAAGGGGGGGGGTCTCTTTTCCTCAGACTTACGGGTCTGCTAAAGTTTCTTTAGACGTGCAAAGATTTACACGCCTTTCTGCGGGGAGCCTTGACGGCTGCTGCTGGTCCCACCCTCCCCGGCAGGCGCGGAAGTCATTGAGAAATGAGCTGGCCTCCCGTAAGCGCTCTGGTGGCCTCTGAGAAGGGGAA